ACAGTGTGCTGATTTTTAATGTCCACGATTCTCGACCGTAGTAAGGCGGAGGAATAACCTAATTTCCCCGCTTGCTAAAAGCTCCTGATATTTCGTGTACCATGGTCTAGCCAATTCTATTCTTCTGTTTATGCCTACGTCGCTGTCCCAGTCCTCGTGTGATATGGAACCTAGATTTATAAACTTAGAATCCCTTTTTACGTTACGATTGTTGACTGATACCATGACATTTGCGATCATTAATTTGGCTTTACGGATATTTAGGTTTATGCTAAAAATTATTACCCCGATCATTTATAGCTTGAAACATCGTCTGCAGATCCTGCATATTGCATGCAAGCATAGCATCATCCCCAAAGGGGATGTGCACGAGGAATTGTCCATTGGTCTTAACGCCGACTTTGATTGTTTCAACAGTTTCTTGAAAGATTACCCAAGAGTAGACGTCAAAAAGAGGAGGAGACAAAATGCATCCTTGACGAAGCCCTCTGTTTATAGGAATTTAATTTGTTTTGACATCGTAGCCGCGAACTTCTGCTGTTTTTCACGCAGTGTATACCTTTTTCGTCAATACTGAGACCTTTCGGGATATCTGTTAATTTATAATGCTGTACTGTGGCAAACGCCTTCTTATACGCTTGCCGGCCTCTCTGATGATTCGTTCGATAGAACCAGCATTACAAAGTCCAAATTTTTCCTCGAAGATCAAATTTCAAGCGGAAATTTTTGGAGATTACGATCTGAAAGCTTTTTCTAAAGAGAAAAACTTATTTCCGAAATGTCTTTTCTCCTTATAGACGCTCATCCTATTCATAATTCTATGAAGTAATCGCTTTAATAAATCAGTCATGCCCTTAAAATGTTGCTTATCAAACTAATCCTTGCACCAAATTCGAAAATCAACTAAAGCGACACAAGCATGTCTCCAATATCTTATGAATAACAAAATTTGCGTAAAAGAGCAGGCTTAAGGTGCTAAGAAATCGTATTAACATATAATTTAGCGCGTAGCAAGTGAATAAATCTTCGCTCCGCCGTTAAATCCATCAATTAACGAAGCCGCAGGTATTAAAAAATTTTTATATATTTTTTATAGTCATTTTTATTAAATACTGGCATAGCGAACATTAAAACGAAAAAACACAAAAACCAGTGAATTTAATTTAAAAAAATAAATGAAAAATATTTAGAATAGATTAGCAGTAAATCACTGCAATATTTTATTTTATAGATGAAATAAATATGTTTTTTAATTATAACGTTTTTTCAAAGCTGCTTAGTCTCTAGTAATGAACACTTCGCTTCACATTCTTCTCTGCAAATGCATGCTTGATTTAATGAATTTCTCTTAACTATCTCTCTCTGTCTCTCTTTCAGTCTTCAGGTCAGACAGTTTCATTTCCATTGTATACCTCTTCATGACAAATCGTACAGAAATCCTTTTGTATGTTCCCCGAACTAAATCAGAATCCTGTTTGATTTCATTAAGAGCGGAACCGTTTTGCAATTAAATGGTGTAGAAAAATTTAGTAAAATACTCAAAAAGAAAAGAAAGAAAGTAATAATAATTGAAAATCACTTTATCATAAGCAAGTGTGTGATGGTGTTGTGCCAGTTGCGAGAGCACGTTGTATTGATGCACTTAAGTGTTACATGTGAATAGTGAGTAAACGTTCAAGTGTCTGGTAAACAAAAACATAACACTAACAGTCGCTTATGTCTAAGCAAATGAATTTATGTTTGTATGTTTGTCAAGCAGATTTTCTTGATTATCCTTTGCACTCATTTTTTGTTATTTTAATCTTTTTTTTTCCTATCTTATTATTATTGTTATTATCATATATTTTTTCGTTTCATGTGTTTTTACTTGCGCTTCTCTCGCGTAAACACTTGACATAACCTCATTTTGTTGCGCTTCCCGAGCTGACGGGGAAACTGTTTAACTGACAGTAGATTGAAGTGTCTCGTATTGTTTCCCCGAAGCCTTTTCCTTTATTTATTCAATATTGCTTAAAAGTCTATTATTTGCATTTCTTTAAGTGTGCGCGCATTTTTTTCTTCTCTTGCTTTTACTTCGTTTTAGATAACTATTGCGTTTCGTGGTAAATTTTTATTTTATCACTCTGTAGAGCAATTTCAGTTCAGCGCTGCGCTTAATAAGGAAAATTGTTGTGCTTACCATAGGCGTTATGAGGGGCAAACGGAATAACGAAACTCAAAACTGACTATTCTGAATATTCCTTTGCTGTTTGCATGACGAATATCCTGCGGACAGCAATTTCAAGTCTACGACCAGAAAAAAATAAGTTCGCATCAGAGACATTATAAAAATTTGGCAAATCCAGCACACGGATATAAGATTCCCTATGTTTCAGCTGTTTGATCGGCATGTGTTGATAAGTACCCTTGACGTTGTCTCGGCACGCCAGACTTGCGTACTCAGCCTCTTAAAATTGATAGTTAGATTTACTTCTCTCTGTGCACGTAAATTGAAGGCAGTTTGAAACGGAGTACTTGACTATATCATAACAAAACTTTGACGGCTAAGGCATAAGAACTGAAATTTCAATGTTAAACTTGTCAGTGAACATTTTCCGTTCTATCCTAATGGTAACCTTTGCTTAGCTTTGCGAGCAATATTTAGAGAAACATAGGAATCTTACGCGGAATACAAATCCTTTATATCCCAGTCAATAAAATGCTACTTTTCTGCCCAATAAGATCCTTATAGGAAGGCCTATTAAGCACAACATCCTAGAAACTAGAAAAAATATAAACAAAAGGTGAAAAAATCGTTTCTCCTCTCTTGTATTTTTGTTTTCCTGCTCTCTTCGTGTTTGCTTTTAATATATAGATTTTACACAGGACATACAAAGTCCGCGTCATAATCCTCAGCTTGAAATTTCTAGTTGTTTTCCGTCCATTCAGTTGAATGTTTACTATTAGTTAAATAATTGTAGAATGCACGTCATTAGTATTAGGCTAAATCAAGGCATTCTTAAAAGTGACGATTTTAGAACGGTTTTATGGGATAAAATGATCACGAATGAATGATTCGGCATATTGTGTAGACAAACCTGTTTACGAGTCTTTAGACACGTTGGTGAAGTCTTAAAATTTTGCACTCTTGCAAAGCAGATTTACTTATTATATATCTTGTATGAAATTATCCGCCACTGCTTAAGGATTGAGTTTAAACGTCTCCAGATAAAGTTATGTGTTTTCGTTTGAAACTGATATTAATCTTGATGCAAATCTACATTGAAAATATAACTTTACTTAAATTTTGAAAATAACCTAACAACGCGTAGGGACTTTTTTTCGGAAGGAAATTTTTTGACATTGATTAAGCGGTTATATTTTAGGATGGATATGTTATATGGTAACGAAACTTGGATCCAGGTATTATTTGTAAATAGTTTAAACATATTCTGTGAAAGGTGCTTGTTGCATTTAAGGGTAAGTAAGTTTTGCAAAAATATCATTCATTCTAACTTTTTCTAACTTATTGTGCCATTACTTCTGGAAATAAAGCATAATTTTTGGTTCTAACATTTTGCATCGACCTTCTGTATATACAAATGTATATGTATGTGAAGACATACTTTGCCTATGTATATATAAAGGAAAGACGCAATTCTTTTCTCAACCCGTGAATTGTTTACGGTTTTATTGAAGTGAAGTTCGAAAATGTAGCGCAGTAATGGAAGAAATGCAGTTGATTTCGTATATATGCATACAGAGTGTTTACATGTGGATCGTGAGAAGAATAGCGACCTGAGCTTCTACGGCTTTTATATTCGGGTATTTGCGAGACACATCCGGCAAGAGAAGCAAGAGACGTAAACTTTTTAATGTCACCCTTTACTTACTTAATCATTAGCAGGAATTGTCACTTGCAAACGTAGTAAAGGTGCGATGGTATCTTTATTTTTTTTTCCCTATTTGGACGGTTTTGTAATGAAATAAACATTGAACACTTGTCCTCTCTTAATAGGAAAATGGGACGAATCCACCAATATACAGATTCCCAAATTTTAAAAAGAATGACCCCCGTGCTTAGCTGTGTTAAACATATAAAACAAAATCTGTTCTATACGTATAATCAAACAAAAAACAGCGCGTCGGTCTGCGGTTGAAGCAAACAGTGCAGGATATGCAAAGATGCTCAATTTGGAGAGAAAATTAAATGTGTATGAACGGAAAATCAAATCAGTTGTATAAACAAAAAAAAAAAAGAAGTTTCAAGAGAAAATCGTACGTGAGAATGCTAAGTAGAGTATGATGACAAAATGAGAGAAAGAAAAGAAGAGGTAGAGAAACAGACAGACAGAGTGAGAAAAAGAGAGGGGGAGAGAGAGAGAGAGAGAGAGAGGGAGAAGGAGAGAGAGATATAACGAAAGAGAGACTAAGGCTGAGAAATGGAAACATATGTTCTTTCGAATAACGGTAGTATGGTTATTTTTTTCGCTTTGCTCAGGAAACAATAAGACATGAAAGTGATTGTTTGCTTGTGGGAGAAAAAGAGAGCTTGTTTATTACCCCTATCGCATATGCTATATATATGCTATATATTATTGCCTTATCCAATTGGTGGTGGAAAACGAACGCCGACACATCATATGCAGGATTTTTCCCCAAAAAAGCACTTGTCACGCTCTCATTGTATCGTGTGCGCTGCTAGAGTCAGGACTTCTGGTCTACTAAGAACGGTCGTTTTTCCAAATCTAAAGTGAAGTGAACAATATTTTGCCTATTTCTTCAAAACTCCTGCATATACATGTGTATTTACATATATAAATGTAGATATATATCTATGTATGAAAATATACATATATAAATATATATACAGATGGATATATATATAGTAAATAAGTTTCCAAAATAAAAAATTGTCAAAAGCAGTTTCTCGTTGAAAGAAATTTTAAAGTATATTAAAAAAAGAAATAAAAATTAAATATAGTAAAAAATTCTTTTAAAAAATTTTCTTCAAAAAAATGTTTTAAAATGAGTTAAATAAAAGAAAAAAATTTTTTGAAGTGGTTTGTGAAAATTTACAAAAGAGAAATGTGATTTCTTTTAACAACGATTTCAAAACCCTTAAGAAGTTTTAATAAAATTTTAAAAATTTGATAATAATATTAATTTAATGTTTTTAACTCTAACCTGAAGAAGGAAAAAAGAAAATCAATAATTGGGATTAACTACGGCCTGTTCTCGTTTCGGTGAAGAAAAAGAAGGATTACCATTAACTACAGCTTTATTTAGATAAGGAAAAGTAAGATTTCCATTCGTTTATTCAAGAATACATAAAACGTTTTTCATCTTTAATTTATTCAAAAAGATTTCCAATAATTTTTTTTTTGCCGACTTTAACACACCTTAGCCTGTCTATATACATACCCAGAAAACACGAAACGACAAGAAACCGAAGCAGGGTTGAAAGAAGGAAAACATGAAAATAAAAGAGCACAACAAGAGTGTGTGTAGCAAGTGTTTTGCCAAACGTTCGCATAAATTTGTATCAAACTTACGCGCGCATGCACTTGTTATAGCAAAAAAGAAGGAATTTAAAAAATTTTTCTCCGTACACAATAAAGCGACAGAAGCCGCCATACCCGCCATACAAATGGAATTGGACGTTGGCATACATTTACTGTATGTTTAATAGAAATTATGTACATTATTGTTATAAGCCCATGTGCTCGCGTGTGACTGCGGGAGTCGTTAAGCAATCTATTGATAATTAACTCTTTGCGGCTCTTTCGCTCTCTCTCTTTCTCTTTTTCTTATCCACTCTCTTTGTTTTGCAACTGCGAACAAACCGTGCTACTACGACTTCTACTACTGCTACTACTACTACTACTACTACTACGACGGCTATGACTCTGAGTTTTAGGCCAGACATTTAGTGTATAAAGGGAAAAATCGATCGTTCCGTGTCGTCTTGTGTAAGTTTATCAGTTTATCGGTAAACTCTCCACAAACTTCTGCTTCTATTATTACTGTTTGTTTTGCTTGTATTTTCTTTTCGTTTTCACAGGTTTTCGTTAAAACCTTCTTTTTTTTACTATAACTGTTTTATTAATACTTTCTTTTTCTCGTCTTCCTCTTCCAAACAATGAGAAGAATAATTTCTGAAGAGAGCAAAATTTCATTTGCAAAACACAATCAAGAAATTGTTTTAATGGTCGTGTTTGTATATAGCTTAATATGTGTTTGTGCTTTACTTATTTATTTATAAGTGTTTCCTGTAGTTGGGGGTTCAGTAGACTTTTGCTTTTTAGCTTTGCTTTTTGTTCCTCCGGGCCTTTTGTTTCTTTCTACGGCTTTTATGTTGTTGGAGGTTATACTCTACACATATATAGATTCACTTGTATGTCGTCGCCGTATAAGCGTATGAAAGTGTATTTGTATGAATTTGAATGCATGAATTTTTATTTATTTTTTTTCGGAAGAGTACTCTTTATTCATGTGCTTTCATTTTCTCGGGTCTCTTGTTCTTTTGCTTTTGTAATTTGTAATAATTTTTTCCCTTTTGTTCAAAATTTGTCTTGACTTCAAAATAAAGTTGGAAAGTGGGAGCAATAATTAAAAATTTTTATAATAACTTTATTGTAAAGATCCACCCTTAAGGAGGTCGCGAAAGCCCTCTATCTGAAAATTTAAAATATTAGCAGCGCTTCCATTGATACAAGACGAAATACTTTATTGGGTTTCGCAGCAATTTGTAAGCATGAAATAGAGTTTAAGCCGATATAGCTTATATTAGCTATGCGCTATAGATAGTCTGTAGAGTCTTAGGCCTATGGCTTTACAGTTACTTAATAAATGAGTAAATGAAAATGAAAAGAAGCGAAACGAAATCAAATGTTAAATTTGTGGCATTTGTGAGCTTGTGATACGTCCACTTGACGTTCTGAACAATATTTAATGAAAAATTGCAAAGTAAGAAACAATTCCAGAAAAAAGTTAAGTGCAAACTTACTTCTGACTTACGACGCTCTCGTGAGATAAATTTTTAGTTTTGCTTAGCTTTTCGTATTGTAAGGTTACATTTTCCAGCAGGAGGAAGAGCTTGTTCGCGGCATACTTTTTCCTTTTTGGATTTATCCACCTCGTTGCAAGGGAATCAATTATACTTCCTATTTAATACCATTAAAACATGTGGAATTAACTGCTACACTTCCATAATTTCATCTTAAGTCCATCTTTTATTTTTCTTTTTGATGTTCCTTTTATTCACATCGGCTGCATAATCGAGTACTTGGTCTTTGCTATGGTGACTGCTCAACCGGTAACTGTTTGACACTTACCACATGGGCACAGATACCATGGTCGCGTCCGTTCCCTACTTCCCCCTTTTTTCTAACTATCTTTCTAACTATCAACGTGAGGATCATTTCCTAGGTGACTGGTAATATTAGTCAAAAAAAAATATCGTAAATATAAACAAGTATATTGCCCTGCACTGTTGAGGAGACCTTATTAATTGCGATTCAATAAAGTGCACTCCATTGCCCATTTATATTTCTCTTCCGGAACGACACTCACGATACTATACGATGGGATTGCACATTGGTAGTAGTTGAAAACATCATTACAAAAAAAATTTGTCATTTGCAACATGTCTTGTCAAAAAATAGTAATTTGACGTATTAGGTGTAGAAAAAATTATTGTGAAGGGAACATTTTGGATCAGCTTCGAATGTGCACCTTTACCCAAAAAAATAACTCTCACATAGCAAAGAGTTTAAATTTTTATTCTTTTATGATAAAAATTAGTCCACTGAATAATAATGGTTTCTTTTATAAAATAAATAATTCGCTACACATTAACATACAAGACACTATACCAGGTACAATTATATTCTCAATTTTACATTTTAGCAGGCGCAGTGGTTTAGGATATGCTAACGGAAAATCAGAAAGGATTGACAACCGAGTTTGGAAATAAAGCTCAGAAATTAAATCCCTTTCACTCCTTGGTCTTGAATTTTCATACGCTCCGTCTTTAATACCTTCGAGCGGACCAAGCATTTACAGCAGTGAATACTCGTTAATAGTGATAGAGCTCTTTTTTGTTAAACTGCAGATATTTAAAAAAGTATTGGCTTCCAGGCTTTTAAGTTCATTTAGCACGAAACGATTGCTAGTTCATTCTTTCCTATTAGTTTTTGTTGATAACTCGTGGTACAAAAACCGCCTATTTACGCTGCGAATGCTTGAAAATTAGATCTCATGCAATATATAATTATCGCACGGCATATATATCAACGTACTCCTTGTCTGTCTCTCCCCACTCTTTTATCACTATCTTGTTGCACATATAGGTAACATCCCCGTGTTTGGTCATATTTCAAGATATATACTGTTGAAAAGTTTTTTAGATAAATACATTGATGCACACCATTTTCTATGTACATATATTACGTGGACAGAAAAAGACGGCTAGTTGACTTCACAGCGTTTACAATAAGGAATGTGACAAACTGCAACTGCTACGTTATACAGTGGAAGGCTTATTAAGTCGATTAATAACAAGAAAGAAAATGAGATTCGGCTAAGGTCGAACCGACCAATTTGGCTCATTTTTAATAGCGACCTGCGTGCAAGAGTTTCCAAGGTTTCTACCTAGCTTGATCTCGATAACTTAATTTTTGTGACCACAAAACACGCATCAACACACATCACGCAGCATGAAAAATCGGTTGAGAACGTCACGCCGATCAAGAGTGCATATACTTCATAAGGTCTCTGAGAATTCCTTTTGAGTGTTGTAAACAATACAACAAAATGAGCATAGTTTTGTCCTCCAGTGGTGGGTATAAAAATGACATTATTTAGTCACAAATGCTACCGTACACAAAATTCTCTGAGGGTGTGAATAAAATAAATAAAATAAATGGCTGGGTGTTGAAGAAGGTCATTGTGGTATTTACTACATAATTACATAATTATTATATTCTAGAAATTATTGAAAAGTATAACTTATTCACCTTATTATTATCGCGAGATTTACTTTTCGCAAAAAACATCGGTTACACAGCCATTCATCAGTTTACTTGGCCGCCAATACAAAATGAAGCCATTATTTTTTTTTATTAATTGTAGAAGTAAAAGTACTACTAGCCTCGCCAAGGTGTCTGCATGCTATTTGCCTTTTGTACAATGCTGAAAGTAACTGGTACAGTCAGTAAAGAAAAAAAGATCAGACAAATATTTGCATAAAAACAGAAGAACACTTAAGACAAGTGAAACGATTGCACACAAAAAGTCAAAGGATGATTGTAATAGGTTTTAGCCGAATCTTCAACACGCATCTTTTATTCTGTTATCTGAAAAAAAGAAACTTGATATCTGTTTCATTTGCTATTAAGTGTTCGAGTTCATGAAACGGAAGTTCTTCCTTTAAGTAATAAGTGGATATTAATGATCTTCTCTTCGAGTTATATCCGTTTCGTATTAATATGAAAAGTACTAGTGTAGGATATATTTCAGAGATCAGAACAGACTTTCCCAAACGATTTCGTAAGGAATAGACTTAAGCATTGTAGACTGTAAGGAAGAAAACGTATTAAAAGATCAGGACTCGAATTCAAATTTAAAATATTTCTATAAAGTTTCCTTAGCTATTTCAATGCGTTGCAAAGGGAATGAATCACGTGATCTACAATGTAACTTATAGGTAGCTAAGTATTGAATACCATAAGCAGAGGCAATCTGATATATTTTCACGGGTTTTTCTCTTCTATAGCACCACATCAGCATTTAAGTGTTTAGCTCTTTAAACACGTTTTGTTAAGTAGTTTTTATTGCTTTTTTAAAAGTAAATAAAATGGGTTTACTTTTGTGGGATGGAACGATAAATTTAGTGTTAAATGTAGAGTAACTGCGGGTAGTAATTTTAAGTCTGAATTATGAAGGGATTGCAAATAAATGCCTTATTATTAAGTTCGCATGCGAAAAGGTTCTCTTATATCTTTTCTTACGAACTTTCAATGCTCAAAAGTCATTTAACTCAAATAACAATTGCTGTCCAGCTTTTGATCGCATATGGATACGTACGTGTACAATAATTACGATGTTGTTTAAGAATCATATCGACCTTTTTCTACAATCTTTTCCTCTTCCTTCATTTCACACTTTACTCTGAAATTTATATTAATAGCTTCTTGCATGTATTCTGATCATTTGTCGACTTGAAGAAGGCATTTATTGAGAAAAATTATTTTCCATCATTTTATACAATGGCAGATCCATTTTTGCGCTTCTTCA